GGTGGTCACAGCGCGCACTGCAGGTTAAAGGATACCGACCGTACAGAGCAGCGCTCCCGACTGCGACGCCGAAAACTGCTGGAAGGCCTCCGTGCGGTCCTGGTGGGGAAAACAAACACGCATTTAACACAGAGACGGACAGCAGCAGAAACGGTGGCAAAACGGCAGCATTACCTCCTGCTTCATGTTGCCATGGAGACGCAGGAACCTGAGAGGTTTGTGATTGGCTGAGGGCCTGGAGAGGACAGCGGTGAAGAGCGAGTGAAGGAACTCGACGGCCTCGCAGCTTGAGATGAAGACGATGAGTTTGTGGTTCTGAGAAAACTGAAAGGAAAACATCGAGGACCAATCAGATTTGAGCTTTTCAGCTGCACAGTCGCCGTGCCTTGTAGTTGTCGTTATGACCACTGGACTGTTCACCTTGCATTTGTCCAGTATGAAAGCAGCCAGGCAGACCAGTCTGACCTTACTGGGAACCACCACCACAAACTGCTTCAGAGCCTCAGGCACAGCAAAGCTCTCTGATTGGCTGGCTGCTTCGGGGTCACGTGTTACAGCGGAGGTGGTGGTGAGGTCAGAGCAGGGAGCGCCAGACACGTGGATGCTGACCGGGTCGTTTAAACACACGTCTGCTAACCGCGTCACACCTGAAACACACAGAGGCTGTTACACTGCCCTCTACGGGCCGGCAGAGGAACTACAGGAGGGGCGGCGGCGGTGGACTTGCCATCTGTGAGCGTCGCAGAGAGCAGCACGTTCTGTCGGGCTGGTCCCGCAGAGTTCAGGCTGTTTAATATCACCGTCAGGTCCTTCTCAAAGCCGAGGTCCAGCGTCCTGAACGCACACATGGACATAAAATCAAGTCCACGCTGCAGGAGGGCGGCGATCAAAGGGTCAACTACGCCTAAGAGTTACCGATCGGCCTCGTCCAGGACCAGCCAGCGGACGGCGCTGAAGGCGATGCTCAGGGTGTTTTTGATATGGTCCACCAGACGTCCAGGAGTCGAAACCAGGATGTTGATTCCTTTACGGATCCTGAAGACAGAATAATCTTGTTACGACAGCATCGCTTCAGACGCCACAGAGCAGCTGAGAACCGACAGCAGCCCCGTCACATCTCTGAAAGCCTGGATCTGCTGTGCTTTCACACATCTGACAGCGCCACACAGCTTTGTGATCACACCTGGCCTTCTCCGCTTTCCTCTTCTCTCCTCCCATCAGGACTCCCGGGACGATCCAGGTAAACGGCTGCAAAGAGAGAGACACACCTGAGAGCGGCTCACGCAAAGCTCTCGTTTCTGTCCGCTGCTGAGTTTTATATCCACATGCGAAGCAGGAAGTTGTTGGTGCTACTAACCACAGCAAGCACACACCTTTGAAAAATGCAGAGCTGGGGCCGTGAAGTCATTAGTGAATTTTCAGAGCCACTGATTGGTGAATATTTGGACTTTGTGCTGGGTTGGTGGGACAGCGTCCCAGTCTGTACTGGGACCTGCTGTGATCTATGCTGCCATATTCTCTGCACGACTACGCTGATGCATTTTCTGTAGATGCAGTGAAGGATTTCCATAATCACCACGTCCTAAGAACTGTTTCATTCTTACAAAATGAACGTGGCCCACAGTGACACTCACTGGCTGACCCCACGCAGCGACGCCAGCACTTCCCGAGGCGTCCGGCTGTCATTCCTGCTCCCGCGTGGACGTCAGGAAACCAACCGCTGTGCAAACACGACCGCAGCGCTAAGCACACTTTGTTTGGCTCGTTGCAGGGTGGTAAGCTACGCTGCACACGTCCTTCGTTACTTTGACACTCGAAACAGAATGTGGAAGATCAGCTGGTGTGGCGTGCTGTCGGCGCCGCTACCTGGACTTTAGCCCGATGCACAAACCACATATTTATAGAAACCTTTGTAATGGCCACCGCTCCCTCGGTGGTTCTCTGGCGTTGTGCCGCAGTCTAACGTTTGACTGTGTTTGTTGTGTCTGTGGCGGGACGGGAGCGTGTCCATGTGACAGAGGTAACACCTCGTTTAGAACGAGCGCCTCCATCTGCTTTAGAGACTTTAACCACAGAGTACAACATGAAACAACAGCTGTGGATACTGTGTTACCTTCAGAAGTTTCTGGAAGGTCTGGAAGGTCTGCTGGGCGAGCTGACAAACAGAAGAAGAGCCAACCTTCAGCGTGTGAACAGGAAGTCTCGTACGACACTACAGTGAAACGTGCTAATCTGACCGAACCTCTCTGGTGGGGACGATGATGAGAGCCAGAGGACCATCTGACCTGCTGACCTTCGGCTGGATCGACTGAAGACTCTGGACCAGCGGGACGGCGTAGGACAGAGTTTTACCTGCAGACACGTTTGGGGGGCTTTCATCAGGACATGTTGCTGAATGACTTTCCTCACAGAGCAATCTAACAAACCTTCCTCCTCGTTACAGACAGCAGTTCATGTTGGAACATGTGCCCTTCAAAAACAACACGACGCTTCAGGAACTAAACTGGGCTGCATCGATATGCACGTACAAGAAACACCCACAACAGGCCCGCAGACACACACACAAGCCCTGACTCACCTGGAGACCCTCTCACCTGAGAACACCTCAGTGTGACTGATCGCCCCACAGAGACCTGCTGCAGTCTGGCTGCGTCAGGTACGACAGGTGACTCACCTGATCCTGTCTGAGAGCGGACCACAGCATCGCGTCCCGCCAGGAGAGCTGGGATAGTCTGCTTCTGTACACTGTAAGTGTTTTAAAGAACAAAACCACAACATTGCAACGTCCCTTTGCAGAGTTTATACGTTGATCAGGTCACAGTCAGGTGTGTGTGTGTAAAAACCAACCTGGTGACTGTAGAAATATTCATGACTTTGTTCAGAGTGGCCACCTAGAAGACAGAAACAGCCAATCAGAGCAGCTGACAATGAAGCAGCGACGCTGAACGTGAGACAGACGAAAGTGTGTGTGTGTGTGTGTGTGTGTGTCTGTGTGTTACCAAGTGAGGGTGCAGGTCGAGCTCTGAAAACGAGTCAGAGGTAAAAATCTTCTCCTTCAGCTGAGTGATGGCTGGTCTGAAGGAAAGAAGAACCCAAATTATTGATTACTGATCACTCCGGAACGTTCTGCAGTCCGAGCCAATCAGAACCAGCCGAGAAGCTGGTTCAATGAGCCAATCGGAG